TTAAAAATCTACTTGTCCTGTGGCAAGTAAATTTTTTTAAAAATTTTCGAGGCCTGATTAATTAAATGTTGGTATATAATTGTGCCATAGTTCTGAATAGCTGACCATGCATGCTGTGTGAAGGCTTACCAATGACTACCGCTTAATATACAGTTTTCAAGAAATCATTTCTAATTTGTGCAATCAAAATAAAATGGCTTGTTTATAAGGGTACTACTGGGACAGTATAGAATATTTGTTTTCTTTTCTCTAGTCTCTCACAGGTAAATTGTTTTTTTTTGTGTCTAGATTATGAGTCATTTCAGTTTAATAGAAGATCCAAGTGAATCTGAATTACAAGCTTATCTTCAAAAGGTGCTACGAACTGGTCCAAGTAGACGATCATCAGGTACAAAGCCTGGCAATAGTCCTGCAAGGCAAATCAACGGCAATGGCAGTGGTAACGGCAGTGGTAACGGCAGTGGTAATGGCAGTGTACCAAATACCACTGGACAGGCAGTGAGTACACAACTTGTGCATTGCTTTGTAACAAGTTAAATTACATTTGCTGCAAACTTGTAATACTACCGGGGGTAGTTACTTTTAACTTTTTTTTTTTTTTTCCTGTAGGTCACACCTTCTTATCCAAAAAAACCTTCCTCAAACCTGTTGGCAGAGATTTTTAATCGGGTTTCGTCAAAGGAAAACACAAAGGAGGTGACATTTAATTTTAATTCTTCACTTTTTATGTTTTCAGTTGATCCACATTCAGTAACCGTGTAATTCCTAATGAATATGAACATGGAAGCTGGTATGTGAAAAATTAATGTAATTTGTTTTCCTTGGTCATTTTTAGGGCCTCAATGAACTTTATGAATTTAGGAAGAGATATCCTGAAACTGATATTGAGCCGTATTTGAAAAAGACAACACAATTCTTTCGAGGTTATGTTGACAAAAGCCTAAAGGAACTGGAAGAGTTAAAGGGAGATAAAGTAGCGCCATTATCAACTATGCGTACACAAGGTCAGTTGTGATAAAAATGTGTTTATCTTTACCTATATGCCTGTGTTACTAGTTTATCTACATTTTAAAATGATTACAAGAGTACCTTTTTCAACAGCTATTACAGAAGTAATGAACCTGTATAGGGTGATGATTATATCTTGATTCTGAGTGAGTGTAAGAGCCCATTATGGGAGGGTATGAGCATGTAACTGTGAACATGTATTAGACATACATGGAATGCTAGAAAAAAATGTAAAAATTACTGTTATTCCGAGATTAAACATTACAAGCCAGTGTGTCAAACCCTGTCTAAACGGCTGGCTGGCACCAAGTAATTTGCTCTTGAACATGATGGCCTTGTATGTTGGTACCCGTAGTTACTTGACATTACCTATCAGTTAAAGTTTAATTATTTGTTAATCAGTACCAGTAAATAGTTCATAGCTCAGTTGTATTATTAATTTTTAACTTGGCAGAGATTTGTCTCTTTGTTTATTATTTAGAGGTTGGTTCTACCTTACAAAGTACAATTTATCAGGAATTGTTTCTACCTGTTCATAGCAGAGTCTGTATTGTGCCTGTGTTTTAGAGTTAACATTGACATTTGTCCTGAAAAGTTCTCAGTTTTGAGACTTTTTATACTAATAAATCAGCCTCTTTTGTTCTATGTAGGTTTACGCTAGTTACATTTGTACATGGTTATGTCTTTTCTCTTCAGTGAGACTCGAATGATTTGACAATCTCAACTATCTCAGCTTCAACTATATTCAAAATTTTGTAACATGCATTAGACACACATTGGTTCTCAAGTGAGTGAGTGTACTGATACTTTGCCAGTTCATAACTAAGTTTGAGGCAAACTTTAAAATATATCTTAATGTTGTTCTATTTCATGATTTCCATGGCAACAGAGGTTGCAACTGAGAGTGCTGAAGGTAACTAAAAATACTTGTTGGTTACTGCATCTTGTCTTGCCTTGTTTGTTGCCATGGTAACTGGAACAAAAAACACAAGAAACATTTCACCTTTGTGTATACACCTTTTCCCATTTATACAATGTTGTTGTTTACAAAACAATTTTTGGTTCTTAACATGTTTGCTGAGTGCATGGTACCTGTGGTTAGACGAAGAAAAAAAAAAGGTTTTGCTTCCAGTCATTGTTGCTTAGAAACCTGTGATTGACCCTTTTTTTTGCAATTTTACATTTTATGTACCAGTGATTGGCCGTATATATTGTACAATGGAAATGTTTGTTTTCTGTTTCAGGGGATGTTTTGTAGAGACAACATATTATAACATTGAAACATATATTATGTGGTATTGAATAATCTTAATACAAAAATAATCTTAAATAAATAATAAAACCAGCATTGGTTCCTGGGACAAGAAGCAAAACCATTTTTTTGGCCTTTTATTATTTTTAATGAAGGGCTTCTACATGAATAGTACCTCTCCCTACCTTAACTAGCTGTTTATGGTTATTTTAATATATATATGTATATATGTTGGCATGCTCTGCACTAAAATCATCTTCACATTGTCTGAATGGATCAAATTTCTGTCCATATGGTAATGCTTGCTTACAATTGTTATAATTTAATTGAAAAAAAAAAGAAGAAAATTACGAGAAATAAGATGTTGTATAAAAAAATACTATACACTGCACATCATATAAATGCTACATATAATTATAAATAACAAAAATGAGGTCCAGCATAAATACAATAACTGGACTGTGTATTCAAGGATGAATGCCATTGGTATATCAGTATTTGTAAGGACCTACCATTTTGAAATGACGAACTGATTACTGAGCTTTATATATATATATATATATAAATAAACTTGCTGTGTCGTTTAATTTTTTAAAATCAATACAGTCAAACCCGTGTTAGTGAACCGCCTCTATATATAGACATGTATGTTATGTCAAATGTACGAGTTTGTGACCTCCATATAAAGACCGCTTAAATGAACTCCCTTGGTTTATCGCTATATACAAGTTTGACTGTATAGCCTGCACTGCCTTTAATTGAAAACAAATCAATCAAATTAATATCTAAAAATATTGATAATCTGTGCTTAACTATAATTATTTTTCTTAGATTTTTAATTCGTAGTGTTTTTTTCATTGTTAAAATTGTTGGTTTAATTTCAAATAATTTTCATAGGTGGAATTCATACATCATCAAGTATGCCATCTATCACGTCGTTACCCACCAGTGGCGGTGGTGACGATGCGGAGCCAGATCCTGAAGTTTACAGAGATAGGTTAAAAATACTTCGTGCTAGATTTGGATTGGACAACGATGCTGACAGTAAGCCTGGTTCTTCAACAGGAGGAACCCTTCCTCGGCCAGAAACTGCACCAAGTAATTTGGAGAATAAAGGATCTGCAGTAAGTATTATTAAAAATGATTATTTTGTTGTTTTTCATATTGGTGCCACAAGTCATTGACACTCTATCTAAATGTGTGTCTTTACATCCAGTATGCTTCTCAGATTGTGCATGTGTAATACAACGAATTTGTGATACTTGTATCACAAAATCATGTATTTATTTACTCGCCATTTATTCATCCGTTTTTCTGTTTGCCAAACTTCACTTCATTTTTCTTGTCTCACTAACTTTACTCAACTATTTCTTTAATACTTGCTTACCACTTTAAACAATAAAGGCACGACCACGGTATTCGTATCAAAAGGTAAATGTATTATCCAATTTAATTTGTTCATGTTTCTATCTTGCCACGGTCTAGAATCATACAAGGCTTGATATGCAACACTGCTTGTATGAATTTGCTAATAGCTTTGTATTGTGATATTTATGTGCTCAGTGTTATAATTATGAATTTGTTTTGAACGGGAAGTTTATACAGGTATGTCAGTCCTCAGTATTTAAAACAAAAACATTACATTCTGTTCTCTTCTTGATTTGATGGTGTACAATTTTCTTGGTGCAGTTTTAGATCATTGCATTTACATTTAATACATTTTGTTCCATCCTTAAAAGTGATAATCTAAGTAAATGCTATACTTTGCAATATGCAAATATCTACAAGTGTTTTAAACTTGTACTTTAGTATGCATGTTGAAGTATTGTACATTTGTACTATAGTTTCTGAAATATGTAAGAAAGAAACAGAAGTTTACTTTGCTGTCCATTTGTGCTTTCACCTGTATCATTTTCAAATACATACATTGGTAAAGCCTGTATTCAGTGATTGTCATTTCCTTTCCACTTGTGAAAGAGCTTAGTATAAAAGCAAATTATAAAGCTGACGTGAATGAGTATGGCTAATGCTTCAATAACTATGTTGTCTTGATAAACCGATGTAAATGTAATACCGGTACTATGTGGAATGTTCAACAATACATTGCTCCTTTATTATTGTGATTATAAGTACTAATATAAGTGATTTTTTTTAACACTATTTATTTTCCCAAGCCTCCCCATCAGTACTCGTTTCAAAAGGTATGAAAGAAGATATTGCCTGTAAATAAAAATAAATAGATCTATTATTTTACTTCCTGGCTGTCTTTAGATACTTATGGTGTTTAATTGGTATCTTCACTTTATTAGTTGAAAATGCTAACATAAATATTTTATGGTTCGTAAGTCCTTCTTATGGGACATATATCAAGTTGTTTAATACTGGTGTTAATATTTTGGTGATGGTATGATCTTTAATGCTCTCTGCACAGACTCCAAAATGAGGTATACTGAGGAGATATCTATGGATGGAAATTAGATGAGAAAATGGCACTCTTTGATCACTGAAGAAATTTTCAATGCTAGGATCATCACTTTATGATGCTTTATTAGTCCCCGTTCAAAACAGGGACTTATTCGGTCTCTGTGTGTCTGTCTGTCCGGAGTGATACTGTAAAACATGTCTTTTCGTGAGCATGTCTTTTTAGCGAATTTAGCGAGAGATCTGATTCACTAATTCAAGATGTTACTAATGACTTTATTATAAATTCAAAATGGCCGCCAAATAACATCTTTTTCTCCACACACACTTTGTAAACAAAAACAAAAAAAACGTACTGACAGGATAGATACACTTTATTGAAAAGTAAATTAACCCAAAAAAATAAACTTATTCATTGTGGTCATTATTTCAATGAAAATTAATAAATGGAGTGATACTTATATATTATTACGGAAATTAGTAGTACTTAGTAATTTTTGAGTCCCAATATAAAAGGTCAATGTTCTGGATGTAATGCAGCAACGATACCCGCTTTTTCAAATCCCTGTTGAATAAGTATTTGTCATTGTGAACAGAATAAAATTACACTTGACAGTTTTTATTTGTTTTTATGGAGGTGATAACTGCGCATTTGTTTCAGCGCGCGACAGACGAGTATTATGAAAACAGGAAATCAACAATGATGAAAAAGATTCGCTAAATTAACATTTCGCTATTACATCATTTTACCACAACTCACTAAAATTGCATGTCGCTTTTTCAACATGTTTTACAGTATTTCAGAACTCTATGGACTAAATCTGTTCATTCTTTGCATGTGCCTTGTACTTTATCTGGGGCATATATTCACATGCAGTGGTATACTGATTCAATCCCAGATGGCTGACTGGCAGCCATTTTGTTTTTTAAAAAATGTGGTGGTACCTTATGTGTGCTTTGTCAGTTTTTCATATATACATTGTAAATTTTAAATTACATGTCCATGACAATTTGTTTTACAATCGAATCAAAGATGGTCAACTGGCACCTGTCTTGCTTTTTAATCATACCACGGTACTATACAATGTATCTCCCAGGCTTATGGACAATTTTCATTCATATTTGGCACATGCATATCACATTTTGGAATACATGTTCATGTCAGTTTGTTTCATAGTCAGATCAAAGATGGCTGACTGGCATTCATCTTGTTTTTTGGAAAAATGTGGTATCTTGGACTGGATTTGTCAGTTTTCATTTAAATTTGATACAAACATTATACATCTTGAAATATATGTGCATGATGATTAGTTTCATCTTCAAAATATATCGTTGACATGTTTTTTTTTCTCTTCAAATTATACATGTTGAGATACATGTCCACGACTATTTCATTTTCTTTAAATAATGTGTTAACCATTTTTAATAAAATTGCATCTAAATTACATACAGCGAAAAGCTAACGAATCTATAAAGATCTATCATATCATGTACCATTTGTACATGTATCTTAGCATTTACCATCAACACTTGATGGAAATGTGCTACATGGTAACACTTGTTTGGCTTCTCTGTGTCTATCTGGTGGAAATCTGCATTAATATTTTAGGGCAGTGTTTGTCGCAAAGTGCGTGTTTAAGTTTTTAACCAAACCCTATATTTTAGAAACATTGTGTACATCACTATATCAAATAGGATGCACAGCAACCACTGTCCTTTCATGACTATTAAAAATAAAGACGACATGACATGAGGATGGTGGTTTAATGGTATGCCGATAATACTATACAATTCAATTCTCAAAATGTTATTAAAATTAATGTCTGAAAAAAGTGACAGGACTGTAAAAGTACCGGTAGGAGGTTGCTGCAAGGATCCTGACAGATTAGATTACATGTACATGATGCAATATACATCAGACTTTGTCCTGTTTGTCTTTTGTGCAACAAACTCACAGCGAGAGTGAAATGGGCTTCACAATGTGTTGTAATATAGGTTTATTATTACAATGTATTACCAGGATTTAGTATTGAGAATTCTTTTTTTTTTTTTCCTTGAAAAGATTTCGCTTGGAACAAGCTCCACATCAATCCCAGGATCCTCTAGTACATCACAAGTCACTGATAACAATGTAGCAGATTTGAAAAGGAGGCTTGAGAGAATAAGGTCACAGAACAAGCATTCCGACTGAGCACTGCCAGGTGGACAATGTCCTCAATAAGCTTGACAGAAGACTTTTATTGGTAGAGATTTAACTGCTGGGTGCGCTTGTGAGTTTTTACAAGTCTACCAGATATACAGTTGAGATTGTATATTAGATGTGAAGCAAACCTGTGCATGCATAAAGCAACTACAGTTATGCAGGTTTTACTCATTTCCCAACGATTGTAGGTAGTAATGGAAATTGTGTGAAAGACATTTTTTTCTATCCTTCACCTGTATTTTGCTGCTTATCTCATTCTATTATGTTTTCATCACGATGGACAGCTGTCGTTAAGCTGTATGTACAATCTCTGTTTTTGGAAGCAGTGTAAAGCACTAGCACAGTACTTATCAATAAGTTGCATGTCCTAAAAACATGGATACCTCACTTCTGTTAATTAGATATTTAATTATACTCGTTCTCATCTTGTTTACATTTATAAGTTTTCAATTTACATATTTGTCTTTGCATTCTGCTGTTTTGTGCTTCCAATTGCAATCAATTTGTACATTTGTATGTTAATTTAAGAACCATTTTACTGATTCCCAAGTGACAACGGTTCTTGTTCAGTGCCACTCTAGGCTGAAATTGACAATCAATGACTTTCTTTCCTGTCCTCTTGTGTGATATCTGGTGGCGGCGGGTTTGTACATAGAAAAAAACTGAATGAGTGTGTGCGTGCATGAGTGTCTTTGCGTGTGTGAGGCTTGTGAATAAAAGGGATCCTGCTTTTCCTTTTCGGCTTTAACTTTGGTATTCTACAAGCATACAATATCAGGGTCAATGCTTGTGCCCTACTGCAGACTAATTATAAATAGTGATGGTATATTTATGTTGAAAGGCAATCAGGTGGGTCATTCAAGGCAATAGCATCTGAATTGCAAGTCCCGATAATCCACTACTGATGACTGCATTTGTTGAAGACATGATTTTCTTATGTGTAAATTTTTGAAAACCAAAATTACGTTGGACCGAGAATGAGTACAGTGGAAATGTATTTATTCTTGCGGTGGTGACTGTATCATGCTTACATTGCATTCTGTGAATGTTTACAATTTCATACTGACCATCTCTTGCATAGCTGTATGCTACATGAATGTTACCTGTATTCATATATGTAGTTTTTAGCATAGACCTTTCTTGAGCTGGGCAAATGTCTTTAAATTGTGAAGTGTATGCAACTTACAACTCATTCATGTGATGTAATATGTTTATTGGAGCTGACTATTAAAATGTTTTATCTGTATCATATCCATAGTACTGTATTTTTTGGATAATGTCCGAAGGCAGTGCAATTGTTCAGATTTTCAAGGGCACCCTCTCCTCCTTGAAAGATGAAACTCAGTTTAAGTGCAGCTCATATTAAAGGATGCTGCAGTTCACTATCTGCATAAACATGCATACATTATTTGGCTACATGTGCTATTGGCATTCGGGTGTTCCAGGCTTTATTTTCATAGTTTGCATTATAACAGTTGGGTATTACATAATAATTAAATGAATATGTTCATAATGTTTGTATTGGTGAATTCAAAATAATCATTTAACTGCCCAAATCATTTCTCAGATTAAAATGAAACAAATAGACTTTGGATTTGTCTATTCCATTGAAAGCTAAATCTCGAGTGCACAGAAAATAAATTTCAATGCAAAATTTTGTCTACTTGGTTGTTCCAAAGTTTTACTACATGTACATCTACATGACTCCAATCAGGAGTTCTGGAATGTGTGATTGTCACCGACACAAATATGATAGCCTTAACTGTATTATACACAAGTACTACCACGATAGCATTAGCAAGTTTTAGATGAGTGATTATTAACTATCAAGCAATCATGGAAAGTGTAATTGTAATGGAATACTATATGATTCGATTGAGGAATTACTGAATACAATAGATCTTAAACTATTTTTCCCGGGAAGTGTAAATTAGAATATATGAATGTTAAATTTGCAAACAATTTTGAATGTTCACATTTCTAGAATATCCTCGGTATGAAATGTATTGTTTTGTTTTGGACACGGGGGTCAAAATATATTGCTTGGTGTGGATCGAATACTACTGCACCTAACACAACAGGAATACAATGTACATGGTTATCAGAAAATCCTGACTATTGTGGCAAGTGGTTAACTGAAGTTGTTTCTGCATTGGCCCAATGTGTGACTTTGTCATCACTTGCTTTAAAACAATCTACACATTGGCAACAAATATACACTTATCAGAATGCACTGTTACCATACTTAATGTTTAGAATGTGTATACATGTTCCACTTCCTGTCACGAGTTGTGTTCGAATACTAAGATCACTAGAGATGCTATTCTTGCAAACTGAATGAATTACAATTTAGTTGTTTAGTTTAGTTTCAATATGTAACCATAAGTTACAACGTGCAGTATTTTATGGAGTACGTATTTTCATCCTACAATATTAATAAATTCGAAATTACGAGGATACTGCATAGCATGCACTTTGGAGTTGGTCGATACTCTCGCTGTACTGTCTTCATGCATACTTTTCGGTATCCTCGTAATAACATATTACTGAATGAAATATAATAATTTTTTCAAACTTGTACTGTAGTTGTAATTAAAGAATTCATTAAATTTACTGAGTAAGGATTCAGGCTTTCCAAATTCTATGTATAATCTAAAACAAAACAAAATAATGCAATAAATTACATATAACATTTATCATAATCCATTTACAAATACTCGTCAACATTAATTTGTACAAATTTCTTATGAATAATTTAAAGTTGCAAATAATGACATGACTGCAAGAAAATAATTTAGTTATCCATATTAAATTTACTAAAAAACTCATTTTTGATTGTATTTTCCAGTAATTAGTTATGAATTGTCCTAATCCTAAACTAAAATTAATGCCACACTATT